TACAGTCTATGTATTTTTAATTGTATTTTTATTTTGGGTTTAATTTGTTTACTAACAATAGTTTTTAAGTATTTTCATGTTACTAACAATTTATGGAGAAATCTGAAATAAATTCATATTATTATATTATTATAAAACAACAAAAATGCTCTAACACAATTCCAATCAGAATTTAAGAGAATACTTCTCTAACCTCCTAGGAGACAAATAGAAATATACAGTGACACTTTAACTGATGATTACGGTGGCATCCAAGTTTGAATCCTTATGTTCTGTACCGCACAATTTTCGTGGAACCAAAGTCTACGGTACAGCGCAATGCAGAGTTCATGCGGTATGTCGCTACAAACTTGATTTTCTCGGTTACAATTTCTGCTAATGCAACAAATGAGGCCATTATTAGGCCTTCCAATTTCTTTCAAAGGAAACTTTGACACTGTATTTTGTATAATTTCATGTCTATATTTTCAGCTATCCTACTAATATTATACAAGTTTGTCTGTTTATTTGTTGCTTATTTCTGACTCCTTCATGTCAACGGCTAGAGGTATAGGGATGTTTCGAACAGGGGCAGATTATGGTCTGTTACAACATATAGGCTATTTGTTATCCCACGGAAGTACGAGCGGAGCCGTTAGCAGAAGATAGTACTCAAATAACAACAGTAACGAGCTTAATGTATCTCAGTCAGTAATGTGGAATAGATTAACTGTGAACTAGCGCTAACTAGCAGACGTCTCCATTAACAAGGATTTAACTATAATCTGTTATTCTAGACAATGTACATGGATGTTCCGTTCCGAAGGGTTCGCCCTTCGAGGCAGTTCGGTCGCTGGCAGAAGCTAGTTTAGTAATATTTTTTTCGCCGATCAATTGCTCAGGTCTACATCGTCCCTATAAATAAAAAAAAACAATTAAAAACTATTTAACAAAATAAAACCACAAAATTTCAGTCAATATCTGATTAAAATGCTTGCCAAACCAAAATTGACTCTATCTCGCTTCAATTTAAGATTTGAGCTTCAATGGTTATGAGTGACCTTGAGACCGCAAGTTTGATCATAGTTGATGGGATTAGTTCCCCGTCAGTACAATTACTTCCACATAGCTTTATGAGATTCCCTTTACGAAGTGTTCGTGCGGTATTTAGTTGTAAGTTTCACTGTTGGGGAAGATTTTGGGGAATGTATTAATTTGAACGTAAATATGGGTATTGGGTAGTGGTTAGTCTGAAGCAATGTTCCCTTTAAGTTAATTTTAATTATGAGAATAATATTCCAAAATAGTATGTAGCCTAACTATTTATGTGTACAGTTCGACTATACAGTTTAAACTGTTACAGTTGGAACTGTTACTGGAATCTAAGGCTTCACAGTAACCTGTGTCTGATGGGGCGGGAGGAAACGCCCGGGTGTCATCCCTGCGAGGACCGCCCTGAGGACACGGTAGAACACACAGTGGGAGAATGCCCTGCGTGGGCTGAGCACCGCCGTGCCCTCAGGGAAGTGATCGGCGATGGCGACCTCTCGCGTCCGGGCCTAGTGCAGGCCATGATGCGAAGCGATGGGGACTGGGATGCCGTCTCCTCCTTTTGCGAAGCAGTCATGCTAGCTAAGGAGGAGGCGGGACGCGTGATGCAGCGAAGCGCTGCCTCCTCGCAACCCAGCCATCGCGAAGGACACACCGAGCGTTGGGGATCGCGGGACGATCTCCAGCCACCGTAAGCGCGGGACTTCGGACGGCGAGCATGGGTGGCTCCCCGTCCGACCAGAAACAGACCCGAGCGTACGGCGCATCGCGTTCCGTGCGCGCCTCAAAGAGCCATCAGACCACCACAGATGGGGCCCAATAGGGCCGGTGCCGATTCGGAGTCGCGGAGAACCTAACGGGTAACCGGGGCTCCGGCTCGACGTGCAGGAGAAGGAACGGGGTGGTTTTTAGTCAGTAAAAGTCTGACACTCCCCTCCGCCTCACTCAGGCGGGAGCAGTCATTCGATGATTTTCGCCCCCTTAAAAAAAAGGCTTCACAGTAATATAATATTGTACTTATTTGAAATCTTAATTTTAATGGTATAGCATCCATCTTTTATTGTCCTAAAGGATTTGTGTCTCATATTAAACTTTTGACTGACTCTGTAACAGTCGAACCTCCTTTGCAGCAATTATACGTGATGAACCAATGACATATAAAAAATTAAATTCATAAGAGCTAATGAATAATTATTTACATCAAACCTTATTTTAATTTCATCGTAGAATTGAATATTTTTCCAACCAAAAATTTACTCTGAACTCTTTATATAAAGTTTATTATCCTTTGTAGATTCGGTTCAATTAATTTCGCAATTAAAGTCAGACAGGACCGTTGATGTTTGTGTAAGTGAAACAAACATTATTTCAGTGCTGTTTTATTTGAAAAAGGATTTATATTGGTGCATGGACAGCCGTTATTAAATAAATAGGAATACTAAACACTGAAGTGGATAAATTTTTATTTAACTCGTCGAGTACCGTCATTATAGACACAATTATAGAACAATAGGTTGCGGTCACCGGTGACCGCTTGGTGTTTGACAGTTTAATAAAACCAGATTAAAATAATTTAATTATAAAAAATATCCGTTTTTTAGGGAATGAGAGGCAAACGAGCAGACGGATCACCTGATGTTAAACTGTCAAACACCAAGCGGTCACCTGTGACCGCAACCTATTGTTCTATAATTGTGTCTACAAAACCGGTACTCGACGAGTTAAGCAATCAGCGCTGCCCATGGACACCCTAAACACCAGAGGAGTCAGGTGGAGGAGTGTGTTGTCGGCTTTTTAAAAAGTAATACGCTCTTGAAGGTTTGAAAGTCAGTTTGAAATTCTCAGAAAAGGCAGACATTATGTAGGTACGTACGTTGAAAACGATATCTAGTTTTAGCCAGTAATGCTACAAGTTCTATATGACATAAAGGGGCTCATATTAGCAACGCCATTACTCAGACTCCGGTAAATCTCTGAAATTTAACTTAACACTTAACACTTAGCATTTAAGAACAACTTCGTGTAAAGAAAACGAAATGAGACTCAACTGCTCTGTAGTTCAATGAAAACTGACTCAACTGATTATTGGACACTACTATGAGTATTAGACAATTTAAAATAGGCTAATTAAGGCATTGGCTGCCAATAAAAAACTATTGAAGGCAAATCCTCCGCTAATGTCGGTCACCAGTGACTGCCATGGCGTTTAACGTGTTAACCTTTCCCATACACCATTTCAGTTCAATTTAACAAACACTGCAGTATCGCTACGCCGTAGCCGTCGTAACCATGTCAAGGCTACGCCAGCTACGCGGCCGTAGCAGATAACAAAACCGCTACGCGTCGATTCAATTGTAACATGTGGGACTCGTGTAAGTTTCATATGTGTATTGTGTTGTGTGTATGTTAATGTGTTTGTGTTTTAATTGTTGTTTCGTTTCAATAAACACATTTATTGTGTCGTTCGTTTATACTAACGGTTTTGCTTTTGTTCTCCAACTTGGTAATGTGATATGTGGTTGGTTGGAAAATTATTATTTGAAATTGTTGAAAGAAATTGTGGCTACCTGTAAATTTTTTTCTTTGAATTGGCTAGTGAGACCTTTTATGTGTTTGAAGTTAAATTTTTACTTATATTAATTTTAACCGAAAATAATTTTGAAAAATAATAAAATTGCGTCGCATTAATATTGTCTTCTATATCGTGGGTGTTTTTACAAGCATTCAATTTCAATACACATGACACTTAGACCTGGAACAATACTTATGGAAAACATATTGTTGCTTCGTGTACCCGTTACCCCTTGCGCGGCAGCCGTTTGCCCAGCCACCGCGCCAACTATGCAGTTATATTGAAAGTTTTCGGTGACAATTAATATTAGTATGTGTTTAAAAAAAATTTTTTTTAAACGTTGCCCCACATACTATTTTCTCCTGTCTCGTGGGTGCGTTTACAAACATACAAGTTCACACACACAATGACACCCAGACCCGAAACAACAATTTGTGGATCACACAAAGTGTTGTTCCGTGCGGGAATCGAACCCGCGACACGTTGCACGGCAGCCGGTTGCCCAGCCACCGCACCAACAGTGCAGTCATATAATTGACAGTATAGTTTCACACTGTTTAATTAAGTTGATTACTTATGAAGTTTCTTTATCTTTTCAGGTAAGTATCGATCTTCGGTGACGTAAAGAAACAGAATGATTATACGGTTTCCAAAAGCTAATGAATAAAGTAAGTATTATATTTGTGTTTATGTGGATTATTACTATGATAATTCATCATCATCAACAGCCTATAAATGCCCACTGCTAAGCCTCTTCTCAAACGGAGAAGGTTCGAGCATTAGTCACCACGCTTGCTCATAGCACGTTGGCGATTTCAAACTAATAATTAGAAATTATAAGTCCAGGTTTCCTCACGATGTTTTCCTTCATCGTTTGTCAGTGGTGTCTAAATAATCTTAGAAAGTACATGTAACTCGGAAAATGTCACATTGGTACTTGCCGTTGGTAGGTTTCGAACCCGCACTCTCATGCATGAGAAGCGGGCGTCTTAACCTCCGGGCCACCTCGACATTAATATTATCTATGATAATTATTCAATAGATATTCTCCAAATATTAAAAAAAAATATTGGGAGCTGGACATCACGCATACACCATTGAGTTACACAATTTAAATAAAAAGTAATTTGTATGTTTAAACATAGACATGTAAAAAAAACATTGCCTTGTTGGGTGAATAGTTGAATGTAATGAATAACCAACGAGATATTCGATTTACTGAACTCGATATTTTTCGAGTGTGAGTATCGAATATTTCGGAAAACGCCTCGTATTGACCCCTGTTCACCCCAAATTGCTTTTATTATCTACTAGCGACCCGCACCGGCTTCGCACGGGTGCAATATGCATGTATTATACATACAAACCTAGAAATCTCGGATAGTAATCAAACAACAACTTAGCTACAAGGCGTATATTCGCAGACTGGCTGCCGCACACATACAATAATTAATGTTATCAAAGTACCCACAATTGACCGACATCACACCTCCACCGCTAATCTAGAATTAAATCTCTTATTAACTAATTTACAAGAGTTGATAACTTAACTAAGTATTCTTAGGCTAACTTAACTAGGCATTCTTATGAACTAACTTATTCTACTCTAAATCTATCTACCGGTTTCCGTGTCCGCCTGGAATAACGACTCACCGGTGGCACAGATGGCGATGGTAGTTTAGGTGAGGAGTGTTCAGAAGGAACACCTTCTTGTTCGCCCTGGTTAGTATTTACAGTCTCTGTTTCTGGCAGAGTTACTTCCTCTGAACCCTTGCTTAAAGGCTCGACAACATTCCCTTCACCCCGCTGACTCTCATCATCTCCTCCCGGACAGGTAACATCGGAAAATCGGGATCTACGACGCATTTGATCAATGTGTCTTTTGTAAGTTTGACCGCTATCCGCCACTACTGAATACCTACGTAAACTGTCCACCCCGCGTACAGTGCCTTTCACCCATTTATCACCAGAGCCGTACTCCCGTGCCCAAATTGAGTCCCCCTCTGTAAATTTACGAGGAGTTCCACCCGCGTATTCTACTTGACGCGCCTGTGCTTCTCGTACTCTGTTTTCAATGACACGATCACTACGCAACAGATCTAGTCTCGACCGTAACGTCCGTCTCTGTAAAAGCATGGCTGGGGTTTCCCCGGTGGTACCGTGCACTGTATTGCGATAAGCTAAAAGAAAAGTTTGTAAAGCCGTATCAATATCTGTCTGGTCTCTAAAAGCCTTCTTGATAGCTCGTTTACATAACTTTACTGCGTTCTCTGCTGCCCCGTTTGAGGATGGGTGGTAAGCCGGTGAAAAATACTGTTTTATACCATTATTCTTAAGAAAATTTTTAAATTCAGTACTGGTAAATGGTGGGCCTTGATCCGAAACTAATTCTTCTGGTAGGCCGAATCTGGCGAATGTAGATCTTAATACTTTTATAACCTTAGATGCGTTAGTACCTTTCATCTCAAAAACTTCTATCCACTTGGAAGAAGAATCAATTAAAACGAAAAACGTTAAACCTTTGTACGGACCTAGAAAATCAACGTGTAGCCTCGTCCAGGGACGCGTGTGGTAAGGCCACGGCTGTATTGGAGCCCGGTGGGGAGCGTCCGCCTCCGCCGCACAAGTCTCACACTGCTTGCACATCTCCTCCACTGCAGCATCTATGTTAGGCCACCACACGTAGCTACGAGCTAGACTCTTTGTCTTCACTATCCCCATGTGACTACTGTGAAGTTGTTTTAAAACTTTATATTGTAATGAAAGTGGTACGACCATACGGTAACCCCACATTAAGCACCCGCATTCCGTGTATAGTTCATTACGTCTTCTAAAATAGGGTTGAATCAATTCATCTGAACAAGTTGTAGGCCAACCAGATTGGGTATACGTTAAAATTCTACTTAGGACCTTATCACGAGCTGTAGCTTCTTTAACATCTTTGCTGGTAATAGGTAAAAAATCTTCTACAAAATTAACATAAGTGTTATCGTTCCGTACTCCTAAATTATTAACTTCTGTACATGGCAATCGTGACAACGCATCCGCACAGTTCTTACTTGATGACACATACTCAATGTCATAGGAGTAACCTGCCAATAACACCGCCCAGCGTTGTAGTCTGGATGCGGCCATTACCGGGATCCCTGCTTTATTTCCAAAAATGTAAGTTAAAGGCTTATGATCCGTTCGCAATATAAACTTGCGCCCATACAAGTACTGATGAAATTTCCTAATCCCAAAAACAATAGCGAGCGCCTCTCTGTCTATTTGTGAGTAACCGCGCTCGGCTTGCGTCAGCGAGCGCGACGCGTACGCCACCGGCCGCTCGCCGTGCGCGCTCGCGTGCGATATCACCGCGCCTATACCCACGCTGCTTGCATCAGTCGTCAAAATTACAGGCAACTCCGGTGTATAGTGCATTAAAACGTCACTACTTGCTAATAAATTTTTAACCTTGGTAAACGCATCTTGACACTCTTTACTCCAACTGAACTGAACACCCACTCTAAGCAAGTTATATAGCGGTGCTAGAACTGTACTAACATTCTTCACGAACTTGCCGTAGTACATAACCATTCCAATGAATGCTCTGAGCTCGCTGACATTAGTAGGCGCGGGTGTTTTGATTATGGCTTTAACCTTATCGGGACACGTGTGAACACCATTTTTACTAATGGTGTGCCCTAAATAACTAACTGACTCCGCAAAGAATACACACTTTTCTTTCTTTACCCTCAAGCCGTACTTTTTTAATCGATCAAACACCTGGCATAAATTTCGCAAGTGAGCTTCCTTAGAAGCCCCTGTGATTATGATGTCATCCAAGAAAACACCTACTTGAGGTATATCTTTAAACAGCTGCTCTAATCGTCTTTGAAAAATACCCGGACTCGACGATAGGCCATACACTAGCCTGTTATACATAAATAAACCCTTATGGGTATTTATCACGGTATATTTCTTAGTGTCATCTAGTTCAAATTGTGCGTAGGCCTGTGATAAATCAATTTTACTAAAATGTTCACCACCCCTCAACTGAAGCAGCAGCTCCTCTACCCTAGGCAGCGGATATCGGTCAACTTCTATGACTTTATTGATAGTTAATTTGTAATCAGCACAAATCCTAATGTTACCGTCCTTCTTGACGACCGGTACGATCGGAGTCGCCCAGTCCGAGCGCTCCACCGGCGAGAGAATGCCGTCGAGCTGCAGCTGGGTCAGCGCGCGCTCCACCGGTTCACGCAGCGCGTATGCCAAAGGGCGCGCGCGCATGAACACGGGCCGCGCGCCCGGCCGCACGTGAACGCTCACCTTGCCACCGGTGAACCGGCCCAGACCGTCCGCGAACACCTCACAATATTTGGAACTGAAAGCAGACAGGTCGAAAACGTCATCTCTGAACATAGTCACATTATTACACTCGTAATTTACAATAGGTAATTTTATTTTTAATTCGGCCATCCATTGCCGTCCTAAAAGAATGGTTTTCCCATTCTCCACAACAAATAATTCCAACGTCTTGCATGTATCTTTGTACCTTACTGTTGGCGTTATAACTCCTAGTGGTTTGACTGACTCCCCCGTATAATACCTAAGTGTTAGCTGGCAGGGTTTAAGACATAAATCATTAAATAATCTCATGTAACATTCATGGCTTATGCATGAGATAGCACTACCGGTGTCACATTCCATTTTAATGTTTTTACCGCTAACGTTTAATTCTAGATACATGGGTTTACATTCTATAGCAGATAATTTACAAACATCAATAAAAATTACCTCGTCACTCTCCGTACTTTCACTTCCATGATCATCCTTACTTGGATCAATGTCTACGTTGAAGTGTCCTGTTAAATTCGGGCACACGCGTCGCAGATGTCCTGGTCGATTACACACCCTACACACGTAACGCACAAACTTGCACGTGGCTGCGTCGTGACTCGCACCGCACACGTGACACTGCTGCTGCGCACGCTCACCCAGCCGAGCGGGCGCGGGCGCTGCCGATGCGCGCGGCGCTCGCCGCCTCGCAGTCTGCGCAGCGGCCTCCCGCGCCACTCCGCTGACGTCACGCGCACCGCGTGTAGCCGGCGCTGCGCCACTCCGCCGTGATGCCCCCGTTGTCAACATCGCTTGACACGTCACTGATGCTGCCGCCGCCGTCTCGCTGGCCGACCCTCCATGTCCAACCACCTCTGCCGCGTCTTTCTCTGCCGCCTCCATACTAACTGCTAACTTATACGCCTTGCCGAAGTCCAGCTTACTTTCGGCAAATAACCGCTGTCGTATATTTTCATTAGTTATGCCACAAACTAACTGATCTCTTAAACTTTCTTCGAGTGAGGAACCGAATTCGCAGGTCTTAGACATTTTTTTCAAAACCGCGGTGTATTCCGATATAGATTCACCCTCTTTTTGTTTTCTGTGTCGAAATTTATAACGTTCGGCCAATTCACTAGGTTTGGGTTGTAGGTGTTTTTCCATAATTTCCGTGATCTGCGTGAATGTTTTGCTTTTAGGCTTCTCCGGCGTACACAAATTAACTAAAAGTTCGTAGGATTCAGCTCCCATCACCGTTATCAATGTCGGTACTTGTAAGTTATCCGGTATTTTGTTCACTAAGAAATATTGTTCTAAGCGTTCCACGTATAATCTCCAATCGTCATTATGCACTTTGAATTCCGCAATCTTTCCGATCGACATTTTAGCAAGCTAACACTATTTTTCGCGTGTGATTCGATACTGATCGTCGCCACTGAGAAATATCGGAATCGTAATCAAACAACGACTTAGCTACAAGGCGTATATTCGCAGACTGGCTGCCGCACACATACAATAATTAATGTTATCAAAGTACCCCCAATTGACCGACATCACA